CAAAAAAACGAAGCTTTGTGGTACCATCAAACCAAACTCCCCACCAAACCATCACTGAGGTGAACCACCATGACCTCTTTCCAATCTTCTAATGACTTCCTGGGCTTTTTTAGAGCTGTATGTGTATACAAGATCATTTTAACGATTAAATTTTTCTTCAATTGTAAAAATTTTCTTAATGCTAAACGAAATCCTTCGATGAAGAACATTGGTGTAACGGCCACGGAGCACTTTGCGTCTATCCATTTTTATTTTTTTTTAGGGAAGTAGTTAGCCTTCGTCCTGTCATTCTTTGAAATGCACCCATCTTAAGATTACTTTTTATTATGCGTTACATTGATCTGACAGAGATTCCAATTTCCCAAGACACAATTTGTTGTTTTCAAATGGGATTTCTTCTAATTCGAGCAACCACTGCTCTCACTGCATTTGCCGTTCACACAGTGTGGTCGAGGTCTGTCACATACAAATAGGGTCTCATTATATCTATTTATAGTGCGGTACACAAACATACAGCGGATACCCAAAGGTTTCAAAGTGTTGAAAATCTCTGACCTACATTTTCCAACTTTGATTAAGTCGATCACAGCTATTCGGTTTTCTTTATCACTCCACTCTATTTTAATTGAGTGAAAGAAAAATACAAACCAATTGGAATTGTTATCCTGACATGTAAAGAAAATAACCTGATAGGGGTAAGGATGTTTTAAATAATACCTAAGGATGTAAAAAAAGTTCAACTTTTGTAACTGTATTTATGGCAGAACTACGTATGTTTTAAAGGTGGATAGATGTCTACATCTGTTAATCTACATCATAAAAATTCAGCTGAGCCTAAATATGTCAGAAAATACAGTTGTAAAATAGAAGATATGTTCAGTTAAGTAGGTCTCTTTTTTTTTTTTTTTTAATCGGAAAAAAATTAGTAGGTTTGAAAGCTTTGTTTTAAAGTTTATAAATAAATAATTCTGGCTTGTATATGATATCTACTGTTTTTCTCTTTTGTTCTCATCTTTTTACTGATATATATATATATATATATATACACACACACACACAGTGTATTTCTGGTTTAACATAACAGCTTACTTTCTTCTTCTAGCATCAATTATTCTGATTTGATATTGAACAGTGTGCTAATCAAAATATAATCTATAGCTCGTTCATAAGTAGATAATATACCGAGGGTCAACTCATAGAACAAGTTGAAACTAACATTTTATTTGTCTTTAGTCTCCAATAGTATTTACAAATATATAAAAACATTTCTTCAGCCTCTTCTTCATAAAATAAAATATTTTATATATTTATTTTCAGCTTTACTCTTAAATATCTTGTTTTTCTTTTATTTACATGAGAATGTTAAATTTTATGATTCATTAAAACACCAAACAAATTTACAGTTTAATAGCCTTACATTCAAAACAGCTCTTAAGTAATGGCAAAATAGATGAGTGTCCACAAATTTTGGAAATTGAAATTCCGAGGTTGTTACAAAGAATTTTTCAGAAAAATCCTGACTAGAATATTTAACATTTAGAAATGATAAATTAAATATTTAATTAGAGTTATAAAATGAAGTTTAAATTTATACATTATACAATTTTATATTTTCTTCTACCTTCACAAATGACCAAGTTAGTGATGTAAACTTTTAACTGACTGTTATTTTGAAACAACCTGATATTCCAATGGGATGAATTTTGTCCTTTCCACTCTGGTCTGGATAAGTTGATTACCAAACCACCATCCCATTTGCTAGAAACGGCCAGTAAGAGGAAAAAATAAAAAAGTTTAAATATTAAAGTTGAGCATTTATAACAAATTATCTGATGAATGTGAGGCCCCACTGCAACAGCAACCTCAATCCCTAATATCTTCAATATCCTTTTCTAATCCTCAAAAATATTATTAACATCAAATTCCTCATATTCTTCCTCCATCAAATATCAGAGATTTTACTGTCTATTAGCATCTTCCCTCACTGAATTCAAATCACTTGTTACCCCACTGATATCACTCCTGACAAATCTTGTACTTCAGCTCATCTCTCCTTAAAAAATCCCATTAAACTCTTCATATTGTACTTACCATCCCAGGTAGATGGTAGAGCACATGCTGGTACTGCTATTATTGTACATCAATCCCTCTCTTGTCACCTACTCCCTTTGCGTACTCATGATTTCCTACAACCCATTGCTATTGTAATCATAACCTTCTTCTTTTATATTACTTATACATCAGCGTATTGGCCTCCCAACCAACTCATCTCCAATGCTCAATTTTGATTCATCCTCAATTCCTTAGGACATTATTTCATCCTGGGCGCAGATATAAATGCCAAACATCAACAAGAGGGTTCAAAAACCATAAATTCTTGTGGTCGAATTTGGTCTGCACTCAATTCTCAATGTTTTAACCTCATTTCTCCAACTCACCTAGGCTCACTGCCTAGGTCCAGTCAACCAGAAACTTTCCAATAAGATTTACTTCAGAATAATGTAAACAAGAAGACATTGACAATGACGTACATTTCTTCACCAACACAATGCAACAAACAGTCTGGACTGCTTACTTCCCTAATTACCCCCTAAGAAAAATAATTTACCTCAATGTCTAGATTTTTTTTTAAATGTATTTATTGAAATTCACAACTGTATTACATGAAAAATACAACAAGTAAATCTGAAAACAGTAAGAGGTCATGTACAACATAAAGAGAAACTGCCCATTTGTAGCACTCCAATTATAGTTCTATATTAGAAGGTCCCGAGGCCATCTTCTTATCAGACGCTTCAGAGGGTTTTCAGAAATAGAAGAAAAAGCAAGGTTCGAAACAAGAGGGTTCAGATGGTTCAGAAGTTTATTATGGAAGGACATGTACCTGGAATCAGCTAAATCAGAAACATGGTACATTAAGATCGTTATAGATGATTTTATTTGTGAGAAAGTAAAGTGCATTAAGGATTTTACGAAGGATTTTGGATTGTAAGGATTGGATACGAAAGAATTTGGTGGTTTAGTAGAGCCCCAAAGCTTGATACCATAAGGCTAAATAGGTCTTATTATAGTAATATATATGTGTCTTTTGTAAATAATTGGAAGTTTTACATCCTCTTTACCATTAATTGATATTTCTACCAATCCTGAAACCATGCAGGGAACATTGGCTGATGACACAGCCATTATATCTTCCAACTCAGATCCTGAAACAGCATCCTTAAACCTACAAAGCCAGGTCTCTCTTATTAAACACCGGTGTAATAATTGGCACATCCAAGTAAATGAATTCAAATCCAAACATATAACCTTCACCCTTCGGTACAAGGGCAAGTCCTATTTACCTGTTTATTTCAACTCCATACAACTTCCCCTCTCCGACACAATCTGATATCTTGACTTCCTCCTGCATAAAAGACTAACAAGGAACCCATATACCAGACTTAAAAATAGTAGCTTAACTGATGATATGGCCAGCTATATCGACTATTGAATATAAAATCACAACTTTCAGTTGACAAAAAACTACTAATCTACAAGGCAATCCTGAAACCTACTGGTTCTGCTACTGATGGGGGAACTAGTTCGGTAACTAGGCTCTATTGTGGTCCTTTTTGCCTACTCCTGACAGCTACCTTGAGGTTGCTGCCATCTACTAACCAGAGTGGAAATGTCATAATCCATTTATTTCTCAGGACTACCGTGACGTGAAAAATAACCGACCCAGGTGGGAATCAAACCCTCAATTTTCAGAACCGGACACTATAGGGCACACACCTCAACGAGCTCGATCATCCCGTCCTCAATCTTGATACCTATCAGGAGCAAACCTTTCTAACATCAAATGCATTCAATTCTTCCATCCTATAGTTTTTCGAACAATATTCGATACTTGTTTCTATGTAACCAATAAGACCCTGTATAATCACCTTAATATCCCATTTGTTCTTGACCTAATCTAATTTTTCCAAATTTCACCAGAACTTCACTTATCATCCAATCTTGTATCACATTCCCTATCTAGCTCCAATTGTCACTCATTACTCCTTCCTCCTCCTAAGGTTAGTTAAAAGGGTAACGACCAGGCGACCTTTTCAAAATATGTATAAATTGGAGTTTTGGCAATGGCCAGATTCCCCACTTAAGCCCTGAGTATCTTTCGCTCTAGTGCCCTCAATCAGTTTCTAATGGCTTCCAATACCCATTATGTGGTTGGGAGAGTAGCACTGGGATCTCCTGGAATCCTGCTTTGCCTTCCACATTTGGGGAACAAAGCTTGACTCGGAGACTCCTTGGCAAATGTAAATATAATACATAGGTGTGAATGTTTTATTTATTTTAATTTCACTCAGCTTTAATCTATTATTTAATTTATATATTTACCTATATTTATATATTATTTACCTTATTTACTTTTATATTTTAATTATTTATATTTTTTTCTCTTTCCTATGTACATATTGTATTAATGAATACGTGGCCCTAATACTTACTGCCTTTCAATATGGAAGTTCGTATTAATACTCAATAAACTCATAAAAAAAATAAAAAGTATACATTATATTATACTATGAACTATGTTATAAATTCGAAATGAAAGTGTTCATCTATATTATATAATTATTTATAATGATTTATTAAGACACATTGTGATTCTAGGAACCACAAAGAATATTTTCTAATAAGACAATAGGTGACACATGATCCACTCAGCATCATGAGGCGAAATTATTACCTTCTTTAATAAAGTCTGAACGGTCTTATTCATCTTCTATTATAGGACTGGCAAGCATTATCTCTCGCAAGCAGTTAGGAAGACCTTATATTTATAAAAAAAATACAACAATACTGAATTTTTATTTTATTTTTTATACATTAGAAAAGATCCATCTAGACTAAGGTATTAAAAGAAGATATCAGTAGAAGAACCTCGATTTTTATCTAGATATCATCATTCCATTAGTAATATCTTTAAACTTTATAATAAGTTTTCCTAATACCTGTTCACTGTGAAATGAAATATCTTCAGAAGACCCAGTATAAACAGAAGAAGCTCTATTTCCCCGCCACCTCCCACAACCACCACCTATCTTCTCTTCCCCTGCTGCGGAATCTAGAAGAAGTGAAGAAGCTGCTGAACTTGAAGAAAGTGTCACAGATGATGCCACTAACTCCTGACCTAAGGCAGATGTTATTATGTCAAGATACCAATAAATTTAGTATTTTTTTCTATATGCGACAACAAATTAATAATCAGTTAATACATCAATACAATAAATATCAAACCTACTGATAAGAGCAAAATTAAAATTGCAAAATAATTTTGCAATATACTTCTTTATCTAAGAGTGATGAATTTTGAAAAATCCCTATTTTAGGACTTTAATTCAAACCAAAACTTCATTAAAAATTATTGGAAAAAGTAGAAAGTTTAAAATTTTCGACAGTGCTAAGTGGATGGATCAAGAAAGGACAAATTGTGTTTTAGAGATTATGACTTGAGTGTCAAGACTCAGTAAGGTTCCTTTGTGAATGTGTTTGTTCACGAAACATCTTTTATTTTATTTTACTGAAGTTTATTATGAACTCCTCAGGATCAGTACAGAGATTTTTTGATGAAAATAGACATCCACAATTATTGATTTATTTAATTAGATCACTTTAACATCTCCTGTACAGTAATTTGCTCCATTTACAAAAAAGGAAATCTCCTGATCTGCACTAATTACCACAGCATATCATTGCTTTCCAGTGACTATGAAGTCTTCCAGGATTCTGTTCGGGAGGCTTCTGGACTTCGCCCAGAGGGAAATAGATTGTTATCAGAAAGGATTCATTCAAGGGAAGTCTACAACCGATCAGATGTTCTCTCTCAGAATCCTGCTGGAGAGGGCAAGGGAATTCTGGATCACCTATTTCTATACTTTAAGGTGGCCTTGCTCCCTTGCAGAGTGTAGTGCCAGTAAAGTAAGCAAGTAACATCACTTGTGATATTTTGGGATCTTCTTCTGATTCTTTTTTTTTTTTTTTATCTAATAGTCATTCATGGAACAAATTTATATTTATTCTGTTTAATCTATGATACAATTTTGCCATTTTTATTAAAGAGGTATTTTAATAATATTATACAGATTTTTTTTTCGGTTGGTGTTACAGAACATGTAGATCTTTTGCTGCCTTAGCAAGCCTGCTCCATCTCTGTCTGTCTTAGACAATTTCTTTCCATTTATCTGTACACAACTCTGATGATTCTATCATTCCATCTGCTTTTTGGCCTTCCACGTGAGTTTTTGTCTTATATTGAGGCATTCACTGTTACGTAGAGGCTTCCAGATGGATTGCTACAAGCTACATTCTCTGCCCATTATACATATTATGTGAATTATTTATATACGTTGAGGATTTTACAACTTTACATTATCTCTATCAGTAGAAGCAGGATAAATTCAACAGAATACATATAATTTTGTAAATGGAAAAACTATATTAACAAAAAACATTTCAGTCTGAGGATGGGAAAAATTACAAAGATGTTAAAGTAATTTAATTAAATAAATCAATGATTATTGAAGTCTACATTCACCAAAAAATCACATTATCTACAAACCCGAGGACTTACTAATAAATATTAATAGAAAGAAAATAAAACATTTAGTGAACTTAATATAATTTTCTTGGTATTTAATTAATATAGCTATAGCTGTAATGAAGGTTTTATTCTTTCATGGCTTCAATATATTTACTTAACAGCCTTCAATATATTTACTTAACAGCCACTATTAGTATGGGAAAGAACTACACTGCTAGGTCCCTGCTCTTCTCCACCAACCCAATAACTCAACAAATATAATACTGGGTTAGTTTGAGTTTACAGGTAGCTGAATCTTACTGCTTAATTGTTAAACTGAAAGGATATTTTCCATTAAGGCAAGCTAATTATTTATTAAGTAAATTGATCCTTCAAAATAGTCATTAACCACTTAAGTGTATTGTATAGACTTTCTTGATATTATACAAATAGATATGTTTCTCTGATATCCCCTATAATTCAAATATATTCAATAGTAACAGGATAAACTTTGTATTATTGCAAGAGTTCTTGAATAGGTATACTAATATCCTATAATTTAGTTTATCAAGTAAATTTCATTGATTTGATTTTAAATGGCCTCAAAGCTAAAATGATTCTACCAATTAGATTTTTCATAGTCCCTATTGGTCTGGTGTACATGTAGCTTAACCATTTAAGAAATGAAAAAAATAATATAATTATCTTTATTCATATTCATAACTTAAATAAACTCAAAAGATTTTTTTTTTCTCGAGGTTTTTGAAATAGGCATGAAATTTCAACCATGGTATCGAAAATAAAACTAAATATGTTATAAATAACAGAAAAAGAAAAGAAAAAATAGGAATCAGTGACATTACCAGGAATACAGAAGTCATCACCAACACTTGAAAAGAACCCACTTTCACATGAGCCCCGCCGCCTAAGTACAGTAACATGATCTTCTAAGGAAGCGAGATTAGAACCTGCAATAAAAATCAATTTAATATAACAAAAAATGGAGTATTATTAAACAACAAATATTAAATATTATTGAAGTCAAGTGAAAAATCATATCTACAGTAAAACTTCCAATAAATGGATACCGTTGAAATGTGTACCAACAAACATTTTCCCCACTTGAAATCACTTTGTGGGGTCAAATACATTTAACAGAACTCATAATTATAATCTTTCTTTTGATGTTTAAATTTACTTTGTTATCCTCTGATCATGATGTTCAATAAATGAAAGAAACGGTTCAACTAAGGAAAGTTTTAATTTTCAACAAAATATTAGTTCAAGCTCAATTAAACTTCCTAGAAAACATTGCAACACCAAGATCATAACAAAAAAAAAAAAAAAAAAAGCTTCCTGCCGTTAGCGTTAAATCGATTACGATTTTATGCTTACTATCCATTTATTATAAATTTTATTTTAAGAATAACATGCTCAATCAATATCTATATCTGGTTCTTATAAGTTTCAAATATGTTAAAACGATTAGTATCTTGACAAGGAAATAGCCTGTGATATATAACACGTTTTATCAAATTATTAACATCTACCTGAAACTTCGTAAACAGCTTCAGCTCATTATAACCTATAACTATATTATTTACGAAAATTCTTGGAATTGGGACATTTTCAATCTGGAGATTGGCAAAATTTATCCATTTAATTCTATATTAAAAACTCGTAAATATCCATTTGCTTTCAACTTGAATCGTAAGATAATTTGAGCACAAAATCAAGAAAAAAAGGAGTCTAAAAAATATTTGGCCTGTTTGGCGTGACCCCCGACCACAAAATTTAAAAATAAGCAGCTTATATAGGCCAAACAAACCAATATCTTTCAAGGCCACCTTTTTTTTCTTGATTTTGTGATCAAATTAGCTTACAATCCAAGGGGAAAGGAAATGGGTATTTACGAGTTTTTAGGACTTAGTCAAATAGACAAAGTTTACCGATCTCCACATTGAAAACGCACCAATTCTGAGAGTTTTCGTAGAAAAAATAGTTGTAGATTACGATGAGATGAAGCTATTCACGGAGTTTCAGCCGGATGTTAATAATTTGACAAAAAGTGGTCTGTATCACAGACTAGAAACAAAATAGTTCTATAAGGAAAAATATACATTTTTTTTTTATGGAAGAGTATCCTTTAAGGGAAATTTCACAGTAAAATTATTATATAAATACCACATCATTAATTGGGAGGTTATTCCTTTCTAAACAAATTCTTTCCAACCACACAGTATTAGTTAGGCAATTAAATTTTAAAAAATATGGAAGTACAAACAATGATACATGCACACACTATGATTAAGTTTGTTACTTCCTTCTTAAATCATATGATTAAGTAATGTAGTAAAGGTTATCAATCTTACCGGAGGAGCATGCCCTTAATCTGTACCCAGCAGTAGGAGGTGCAGACTGAGGTTTGTGGGCGGTAGCAGCTGCTCTCCTAGCGAACGTGGGGGAGGAAGGCAGGGAAGGAGGCATGCCACCTTCTACACCTCGACCTTTCTGTGAATGAAATATTATAAAATTAAAAATAACATAAATAAAGTAAAGAGGACGTGTATGTTCACACTCAAAATTTCATTAAGTTGCCAGACATGGCTAAACTTCCAACTCAATCTAATAAACAGCTGGACAAACTTAATGTATTAAAACTTTGTATGTTTAAATAATTTATAGTATTTAATTCAATTTAAGATTTTAGTAAAGGAATCAGCATTAGTTAAGATACATTTATTTATATAAAATATATTTTAATATTTAAATTTACTTATGTACTGTACGGGAGCCTTTCTCAACGTTGAACAGGCGTTTGATAGAGTTTGGCATCTGGGACTACTGTACAAACTCCAAAAATTTCTACCTCCTACATACTTCCTCATTATTCGTTCCTACCTTTCTGATAGATACTTTAAAGTAAATCACAAAAACACCTATTCATCCCTTTTTTTCCCAGTCCGCTGGTGTTCCTCAACGTAGTATCCTACGCCCTATCCTCTATACAGTTTATACAGCTGACATCCCTACCTATTCCAACACTGTCATCACTACATATGACAATGACACATGTATCCTATCAGTAAATAATGACCCATCCATTGCATCCCAAATGCTTCAATCACACATCATAAATCTTGAAAAATGGTGTCAAAACTGGAGAATTAAAATAACTCCAATAAATCCCACCAAATTACCTTTACCCTTCGTCGTAAACCAACGACTTCCTGTCCTACAGTTTCCTTTAACAATACTCCACTTATCCCAGTTGAGCAAATCCGATACCTAGGACTCCACCTGGACAAATGACTAACTTAGAATCCTTATACTAGACTGAAACAACAAAAAACTGCTCGAAATTTCCGATTACTTCATTACTTACTAGACAAACGCTCTAAATTTCCAATTAATTACAAAAGACTCATATACTTGACTACAATAAGGCCTATTTGGACTTATGGAGTTGAGCTATGGGGCTCCACTAAACCACCAAATTCCTCTCGTATCCAATCCTTACAATCCAAAATCCTTCGTAAAATCCTCAATGCTCCCTATTTTGTTACAAATAAAACCATCCATAATGACCTTTATGTTTCTTTTGTTTCAGATCTGGCCCAATCCAGATACCTATCCTTCCATAATAAACTTCAGAATCATCCCAACCCTCTCGTTTCTAACCTTGCTTCCTCTTCAATTCCTGATAACCCTCCGAGGTGTCTAAAAAGAAGATGGCCCCGTGATCTCCTAATGTAAACATATCATTAGAGTGCTATTGTTGGGTAGTTACTCAGCAAGTGTTTTCATGTCATTATAAACATTATGTTCAAATTTACTAGATGTATTTATTTAATACAGTTGTAAATGTCTTTAAGAAATAAATAAAAAAATAAAAAAAATTTGCTTAATAGTTCAAGCTACTGCTTATGCCATGAAATGTGATAATCAATCGTATAACTATGCCTTAAAAGATAAATAAATACAATGAGGAAGATTCTCCAAGAGTAATTTCAAGAAAAAATAAGTTATGTTATTAGCTTATAGGTCTGTTTTTATTTATTGTTTAATTGTTTATTTCAACATTACTGATTCTAGGGGAGCATGTAAGTAAACTTGACTTTATTATACCATTATCTTCAAATTAAAAAACTTTGTTTTGTTGAATTCTGATCACTACCATCATTATAACTTGACTAGCAACTAATGCTTTACCTAAAATTTCCAACACAACTCTGAACATCCATTCTATCGTTATGTTAAACTGATGATAATGAATAGTTGAACAGTCATTGAAATCAATCAGACTAAGACTCTAATTTTATTTTTTAAATAAAAAAAAACCAAAAACATGACCACAAGAATTTAAAAAAAAAATACTATTTTTTTTAATGTTTATAGATTTAGGCTCAAAAACCCTTCATATTTTCTAGTATTTCATTGTTTAATTTCATTCCTTTAATCCATCACAAAAATGTAAAACAAACATAAACGAAATAAACATCAAAATTACCAACCTGCCTAGGCGAGTGGTAACAGCTACCAGCTAAGATGGCATCGAGTAGCCCATACGCTTGGACAGGCCTCCTAGTTGTTAGGAGCAGTCCTCCTTCGAGCCAGGGTCCCGTGGATGTACCAGATCTCAAACGAGAAGGTTTCACTACTGGTTCAGCTACAACTCTACCACAAGTGTCATCAGCATCTGATGAAGAATCAACAGGCATTTTCTTTCCCGTCTAAAATGAAAAAAATCAAGTTAACAATGGATGAAATAGAATTGTGTATTTATTTAAACAGAACCATACAAATATTATTTATTTATTATTAAAGCTATCATTATATTTAACAAAAAAATAAGAAGTAAAATCTGCATTTCAAGAGGCTATGTTTAGAGACTTAAATGAGGACTTGTTTTATTAAAAGATTTCATGACTGAAGACCAGGAGCAGATGTAATAATGGCCAAACACAGACTATGATTATTCTCACCATTAACAATATGCATGATGATTCAACTAGTACATATGGCCATTTCTAGTCTTTCAAGATAAAAAATGCTGCAAATTATAACACAATAGTTTATTATTTCCAAATAGTTATATCTCAAATGTAACACTGCTTTCCTTGCCACATAGAGGAAAATAAATAAAAGGTGATTCTTAATATTAGCCTAAATATTTTTTTTTTTGCTAAGAAATATGGACAACAATCTCAATTGCTTCAGTTGATACAAGATTTTCCAAAAATCAAAATTCAAAACAAAAGACATCAGCTTAGCAAAAAAATATTTAGAGCAACATATCTTTGTACTAAATGGTTTGTACTTTTTTAAAGAAAATTTCATAAACTTTTAAACAAGCATATAGTTCGTGATACAGACCCCTTTTTATGAAATTATTAACATCTGGCTGAAACATCGTAAATAGCTTCATCTCATCGTAACCTACAACTATTTTTTCTACGAAAACTCTCAGAATTGGTGCGTTTTCAATCTGGAGATCGCTCAACTTTGTCTATTTGATTAAGTCCTAAAAACTCGTAAATAGCCATTTGCTGTACACTTAAATCTTAAGATAACTTGAGGAAAAAGTCGAGAAAAAAGGTGATCTTCAAAAATATTGAACTGTTTAGCATTACCTACACTCCCAAATTGTCAAAATAAAGAGGTTATATAGGTCAAATGGTTCAATATTTTTGAAGGTTACTTTTTTCTCATCTTAGTGATTAAGTTATCTTACAATTCAAGTGGAAAGCAAATGAGTATTTACAAGTTTTTAGTACCTAATTAAATAGACAAAGTTTGTCGACCTCCAGATTGAAAATGCCCCAATTCCGAGAATTTTCGTAAATAAAATATTTGTAGGTTACGATGAGATGAAACTATTCACGAAGTTTTAGAAGGATGTTAATAATTTCATAAAAAGGGGTCTGTACCACGTACTAATATACAACATCAACAAAAAAGTTTATACTTTTTGAGTAATTCAGAAATCTTATTTTACCAATCTTCCTAATTTTTGTTCCTAATTTCACTGAAGTATGTTATACAGATAAATTCAAAGAGCTTCGAAGAAGAAGACGTTAGTCATGTTTCATTGAAATTGGTACAGTCGTTGAGGCACTACAGTCTACACTATATAGGTTTCTCGGCCTCTATCTAGAAAGAAATGTACTTCTCAGTGAAATATGTTATATACATAAACTTAAAGGGGTTCTAGAAGACTTCAGCCAAGTTTCATTAAAATTGGAACTGTAGATGGTCTATAGCGACATAGGTTTTTCAGCCACTATCTTGAAAGGAAAGGGCTGATGGTAATGCTGGGTTTCAAAGATCATTCTCTGATGCTCTTTCACATTGATACCAAATTACAAAACAATCAGTCCAGTAGTCTCGGAGAAAAGCCATATATGGTGAACGAAGGACTGATTTTTTTTTTAATCAATTTTCAAATTCTACATATCTTGAAGCATAAAATCTCAAATTTTGAGGGAAGGAGGGAGTTAACTTTTTTTTCTTGGTTAATTATTAAAAACAATAAACCATAAATGTTTGGTTTTACAAAATATCTAAATTACTGAGAGAAATATGGAACAAATGGAAAACATGAACTCCAAGCAACCTTCCCAGGAGTTCCTCTTCAACCTCATCAGAAGAGGGTATGTTAGGTTTGCTACCCTAAAAAAAAGTCCTGATCTTCCTAGAACTGGACAAACAGATACCCTGGCCTTCTGAATCTTTAACTGTCATGATTAATGGAAGATAAAAACATTAACAAAAGAAATAAGAAAACAGGTAGACAGAGCAGGAGAAGATTCTACATGATGGTGATGATAAAATTAAATCGTTCAATAATAAAATAGTCAAGTTTCTAATTCTTAATCAAAATTCAAAGCATACATACCTTTAGAGCAATATTGGTGAATGGATTTTGTTGGGATGGTTTGTAATGCACATCCTGTTCGGCCATCGCTTCTCCAAGAGCTCGTATTCTTTCATCAGCGGTAGGTTTTAGCTGAGACACTGTAAATAATTTTAATAATATAAAATGGTATCTAACAATGTCAAACAAACCACAAGGTATAATTTACAAATCAAGCTAAACATGAAAATATACACTTAAAATGTTTAAAATGCCCATATTTTAAAAGAAGCTAATCATGAAGAAATTCTTTAAAAAATAAATGCTTGCAAATAATCTGATACTAAATTTTTTCCAGAGGAGTTTATTGTTTTCAATAATTCAGCACCATATTGCATTATTAATTATGAGGCTTTGTACGTTTGGATTTTAAGAACATTACGGAATTTTTTCAGTGAGCCTAAAAATACTATTCTTATTTTCATAAGGTAATGTACATTGTTTGATTTTATTTTGAGAATTTAATATTTATTTTATTTTTAAATTATGAGTAATCTTCCATGATTTGTTTTGTGACACTAAACAATAAATATATTCGGAGTTTAATCATAAAGATGTTTTGAAGACCAGATCTCAGTTTATAGGCCGAAAATGTATAACAATTTATACATTAATCATATGTACAATAATCACTTTTATGAACTTAGGGGTTACTAAAATTATCAAATTGGCTGAGGTGAGATCTCAAAAAAATGTTTTGGGAAGTAATACTATTCCTCCGTCTTGATTATTAAAGGAAATAGAGGTTGCTATCAACATATATGTATTTCATTTTTGATAAGTATTTGGGAGAAATGATAGCCTATGTGAACCTCCTAGTTAAACACCTTGTTTTTGAAAGCAAAATGGCTAGTATGTTAATTTTCTATTACAGGAAAATTAGATGAATTATTTGGAGGTAAAAACGAATGCTTTTTGGGCCTCTAAACCCTAACAGGTGGTAAATAAGCCCCATGTATATAATATATATTTCATGACAATTCAATAATTCAAAATGATCACTATCAATCAACACAAAGGCTAAAAAAAAAATGCCAATTTTATACAAGCTAATTTTGATTTTTTTTTTCCTTCTAGATTGAAAATAGCTTATTTCGATTGTTCATTGGGTAAGAAAAAAGAATATAACAAACAGAAATTTATCCTAGCTCCTGTTTTATTGATACAATGTTTTTAGTACACACAAAATGAAAATATCCAGAACAAGAAATAACTAATAATTTCTAATGTTAATCAACATATCATTCAAGAAATAATTACCGTTTAAATGATTTGTTAGTTTACATCATATTGTTGGCACAACAAAATTCATTGAATGTTTCTCTCCAGCTAACCACTTAGGAAGATTCAGTGTCCATATATTAGATCAAAACTAAGGTGCCCATGACTTTTCTAGATTACCTACTTTGTCTCGAAAGAAAGCTGTTTTTACTATCTGAGATAAATGTTATTTTTAAGCATCAAATGTCACTTAACTAGCAAAAGTTGCAGCACTATTAACACTTTTGTGAGGCATTTTCAATTTCAGTATACAATTCCTGGAAATTTAGGAAGTAACACCGGATCTCATAAATCCCACAATATGGTCAACCATCTCTTCAGCATTATGTATAAATTATTTGTTTGTTGTAATAGTACAAACTTTATTCTAAATGGTGTTCCTAATATTTATAAATGTAGTTTCTAAGACTCTATAGCATTTTTGTTAGCATTATAATATTTATAGTAACAAAGTTAAGTAAAGTATTGGTATCAGAACAATGTTTCCTTAATTTATTTTGTTGTTTTATAAACGGTTATTTGTTTTATCTATCCCATATATTTCTAGAGTTTAACAGTTATTGAAAGTTTTTTTTTTTTCGATAATATTTTGATCCAAATGTTAAATTATATAATTTTAAAAGTATTAATTTGTTTGAAAAAATAAAGTATGAAATAAACAAAATATTACCCTATCATTGTAATTTAGCTTCATTGAAAGCCAAATGAGGTAGTTTTATTTGATTGGCGAAGCGTTACCTCTCCTGAATTAAACACAGATTTAAGGTATATAAAATAAAAATTCAAACTTATAAGTTATAGGATGTACTTTTAAAAATCAAATAAAACTTCCTTTTTTACAAAAAAAACTTACATTAATGTAAATATTCATCCTCAAAGACACAAAATAAATAAAAAACGAGGAAAGAACAAAAGATTCAGACTTAAATTTAAGTTTGTAATACCAAAACCACTAAACATATCCAAACAAATCAGCTATGCTAGATAGAGCTTTATATAATATTGCTTGTGGAACTTGAGTTCATCGTTGAGGAAGAAGGGAAAAAGATGTACTAATATTCTTACTACCAATCCCACCTCACTCCCCTCCACTCACGCTGAATCTATCCCATATTCTGCATCCTTAAGAACAGGGTTTCTCCTCCCATAGGGGCACAAGTTCCCTCAGAAATGATTACATGCAAAAAACTGTTGGAATAATGAAAAAATTAAATAAATATTTTCTTTACTTTTTAAAATTTCTGGGATTTTTATTCTATTATTAGTTAATGCTGTTGCAAACTCACACTGTTGTGCTACAAGCTATCAATGTATTATGTCTATTTAAAGTTGTAGTTACAGTTTATTTTGAATATATATTTAAACTTGTAGAAAAGTTTCCCCTTAAAGTATCAAACTGATTAATGTAGTACAGGGTATTAAGCAAAACAATCGAGATCTGATGTTACACTAATGGACACCACAAGTGAACAGACCCAAGTCAAGCATATTTACTTATATATTAGCATATATTTTTTGCTGTAAAAAACATAGATTATATTAACAGAATTAATTAACAAGAAATAATAAATTAATTTTCTACTACATATTGTTGCTCACATGATTTATTTATTTACTATTTAACAGAGCTTAAAAGAGAAAAAAAAACTTTTATTTTTAAAAAGTTTCAGTATCACTAGAATTTTTATTGTCGATGTAAAGGTTTCACAGTACTTTTATTTGAAAGTTCCCAAGAACTTTTAATTTAAAAACTTTTTTCCTAAAAATTTAAAAAAAAAATGTTAAAATGGAACTCTTTGAAAAAGTTCCATAAAAGTTTGAGCCCCTGCTACTTTAAGATTAATTCCAATTCAAATTTCATGATAAATATACCAAATGTTACATTTATTCTTTCAGATGACAGAATGATAAACTCCAATTTCAATATTGTTGAGTACAGCCATTTTAGTGATATTAAGTATAATTTTATAATTCCAATTGGTAAAAACAAAAAAATTAAAACCAAAATTTTCCGAATTATTTCACAAATAATAATGATTACATACAAAAAATTTTTAAATCTGATTGATTTTTATGTTTAATAATCAGAATTAAAATGAAAAAAAAAAAATACTTGTTTATTTAATGAAGTGGAGAGAGGAAAGGCTGCAGGATCTTCCTCTTACGGCAAACTCAATGTAGACAGAACATAATACAAGATGTTAAGGTTTAAAGCAAGTTCGATCCTTCTTCTAGCCTTCGAAGGATACAACTGGTAACGAAGAAGGATTGTCCCAGAAAAGTAGTTTTTCGTACATCAGGAATATTAACATATCAACCATTACGTCTGCAACTGGTGTATTTCAAGTGACCCCTCAGGCAACCATCCATCCTATAGCACCATTTCTGGACCTTATAGATCTCCTCTTCCAATATAGAAGAGAGGGGATTCTTCTGCTATACTACAGGAGGGTAGCTACTCCGTACCAGGACAATATAGAGAAAACAAGTATGAAACAAAGATAATAACTATACATGAGGTAATAACTAGTCATGGGCGGCTGATATCTACGCTCCTGATGAAGAAAAGGTTATTAAAATCAATATTAGATGAACTATTTAGTTGTTTTTAGAAAAATTGTCCTAATGCTCATCTTTGTTTAATACCTCAGAGAACAAATGGGTCAATTGTCATAAGAGGCCTTTGGAATGAGGGATGATGAAATATGTTTTAATTTAATTATAATTATACACAGCATTTATGATTGGCTCAACATATATATGAATATAATCATAAGGAACAAAATAATATAAAAAATTAAAGTTATGCTTTATCCCTAAGAGGAACAGCTTTCTCATTTTTTATAAAGCCAATGTATATAGTTCTTATAAACTATAATTCTGTATATAAACAGATAAAATACATTTTAATGAAAAATATTTTTCCATCACTTTGATATAATATAATTTTTTTCCCCCCATCCTCGCCTTTCAGGTTGCATGGGATTTTCCATGGGACAGAGAAGAGAGCAGGGAAATTATGGCAGAATTAAATGTCCCCTCGGCACTGGGATTTTAACTTGTAATCTTTGGTTTATCAGGTTGCCGGGCAACGCTTATTTTAGCAATGTGTTTATGCCTGCTTGGCTAAGATAAAAATTACAAATACAAAATTTATTATTTTTATCTAAATATCATCAAACTCCCACAACTTTCTACATCCTTTTGTATCTTGTTCGTTCTAGCTCTGATGAAGACTTACATAGTTGGGTCAAAACATTGGCTTAAAATAATATAGTTTTAAACTATTTAAAGTTTTAAATAATCACCATCTTTCTCTTTTCTGTACATTATTCTATGGTCAACCATTGAGTACTCAATCAATTCTTTGTTTCGTTAATAAAAATCATAAAAATTTGCTTTGCGTAATAAAAAGCAACATCATTGAGAAATAGAATCCTTCGTATTTATACTAGTAATTTATCACTTAAATTTTTTCTTCAGGTAAAATTTGTTTCTAATTTACTTTCAAAACAATCACATTATCATTATAGGCATATACAATTCTAAACGGGACTAGAAATGCCTTTACTTTTTTAATTAAAAACTATTAAATTTACTAAATAAAAGAAATGATTATTTTCTAAATTTGACAATCTGCTACCACTTCTTTCCATCGATTTTTAATAATTTCATTCTCCCAAAAAGTTCTATAATTCAAATGATTTTGCTTAGCCTGAAAGTGATGAATCTAATCCTGAAAAATATGGTAAGTTTCTAATCCTTCGATTGGAGACCATTCCAAAATTTTGACTCGATACTATTCCTGTATAAGGAAACA